CCCCCCGATCTGGATTCCCATTTACACCAAAGTTTGTGAAAGCTCTGCTGTAGCTCACTTAACCCAATGGAGCCTCATTTTTCTGCTCTGCAACATGGCAACAGTAAGATGTACCCCAGAATACCGTACGAAGGGTTGCTAAGAATATTTTTGAGTTACCTGGCATCATGCTGGGCCATTGAGTACGGGTACAAAAACAATGGTTTCCTTCCTTTTCCTCAGCATCCCTTGCTTCTGAATATTATTATACAACCTTGTTCTCAATAACTTTTTGCTGACCTCTACACACCAAAAGGGCTTTAACCTCTATGATCTTCCTTCTGTCTCTTCAAATCCCAGGATCACATTTTAAAAAAACTACAAAATCCCTGAGATTGATGGGACCTAACAGATCTCATTTAACCTCTCCTCTGAAGCCAGAAATGCCATTTTTTTAGGTCCCAGACTGACTCATTCTCTGTGTTCTTCATCAAGTGTCACCTCTTAGGTGCCCAGGACATACCAGGTACTCAAGAGAGATTGGCTGGTTTCTGGATGAATTAAGGAATGACGCTCTATGAACTCTAGCCCAGTCTCTTCTCCATTGAACTCTTACTATACTCATTTTCCTCATGACCTATTCTGCCTTTTCATCTTCTATTAAAACCCCCTATATCCCATGTTTCTTTTTTTTTTTTTTAAGATTTTATTTATTTACTTGATAGACAAGAGATCACGAGTAGGCAGAGAGGCAGGCAGAGAGAGAGGAGGAGACATGCTCTGCCTTTTCTCTCTCCATTAAAACTCCCTATATCCCATATTTCTTTTTGATTCCTCTCTCACCTAACCAAGACACCTAAGAATATCTATTTGTATGTATATACGAATTCATATATATAAATTATTATAAATATGTTCTTATTTTGAGATGAGCTATTTAAAGTTCATACATTGCCAACCAACAGGACTGCAAGTTCCTTGAAGGAGAGAGTAAAAAGACCACGATATCCCCCTCTTGGAACATCAGTGCCTAGAAAAGCCTGTTTCTCAGTAAATACTGGATTCTGACAATCAATGCTGAAGAGTATCCGTGAGTGTGGTTACTGAGGTACTGAGAACCAGAGATCCCCACGGCGCCCTCCATGGTCTCAGAAAGGACATAACAGTTAGACAGGAAAAGGTAAGGTCAGGTCTTACTGGGATCCTGTGTACCCCTTAAGGGAAATCTCCAGTCCTTTTCCTAGGGAAACGCCTGGCGGGCTTCATGTAAGAGGTTCCTCCAGTAACCAAACACTCCACTCAAAGGTTATATTTACACAGCTCATTAGGAAAATTTTTTACACTTTTGACACTCATTAGACTCGTAATCGTCCACCAAAGCTACTCTATAACAAGAGATAAACACTCCATTCTGGAGGATGAATAATAATGAGGTACTGCTTAGCACTGTGCTCTTTACAGGTCTAATTTTAGAGCATAATTAATCCTGCTGAAGCTGCGTAAGATAAGTGAAATATTGATGCAGCTGTGTTAATTCATGTATTTACTCCTAGAGAGACATTCAGAATTGGACATGGCTTTCCGGAAAGATTAACTTAAGACACCCCCTGGAGCAACGTCATTTTCTCTCCCAAGTCTTTGCTTCCAGATGGTCTCTAAAGATGAAGCTGAGAAGACACGTCTCCCAATCCCTACAGTCCGACCAGGGAAGCAATGAGCGAGTGCTGAAGATATGTGTAAGAATCTAGGTGCTCTGCTAGTACAAGGAATGCACTTCTGGACTATCTGGGGCCTTTACTTTGTATTTTTTTATTTGCCACAAAGAGGCAAATAAAAATTCTGCCCAGCAAAATAAAGCTTGTTTCCATGATACTTTTATCACCAACACAACACTAAGTAGGCTCTGCTGAACACTGGAGTTGTGGATGGACAACAATGAGGAGCTTGAGGTGGAGAATGGTAACGATGAAGACGGTGGTGATGGTGCTGGTGATAAAGATGGAGATGGTGGTGGTGGTAGTGATGGTGATGATGGTGCTGGTGATCATGATGGTGATGGCAGTGATGCCGATGATGAAGATGGTGATAATAATGGTAGAGATGGTGGAGATGATGGTAGTGGTGCTAATGGTGCTGGTGATGATGTTGATGGTGGTGGTAGTGATGGTGATGTTGATGCTGGTGGTGATGATGGTAGTGATGATCATGGTGATGGTAATGATGGTGGTGAAGATGTTGGCCAAGACGATGCTGGTGGTAATGATGGTGATGATGGTGATGCTAATGGTGGTGGTAATGGTGATGATGGTGAAGATGATTGTGATAGTGTTGGAGATGATGCCATGACGATAATGATGGTGACGGTCATGATAACGATGATGGAGATGACCGCCATAGCCAACATTTATTAAACCATTTCTATTTTCATTTGCTGTGCTTAGCTAAGCTCTTTCCATGTATCCTCTCATTTCATTCCGACACGAACCTTATCAGGTAACTATTCCTGCATATGCTCATTTACCAATGAGTCAACAGAGGCTAAGAAAGATTACCCTGTCCAAAGACGTATCTCTCAGTGGGACAATAGATTTAGTTCAGATAGACACTAAATTACTCCTTCCTAGAGGATCTATGTAGCCAAATTCCATAGGCAACCTAGGGAATTAATTGAAGCGTTTTACGTAATTGACCCACTTCCAGAGTAAGGCTCCTGCAGGAGAGGCTCTGCCATTTACTAGCGAGCCCTCTGCGCTTCTGTTTCATCCTCTGTAAAATGTGCAGAAGCAACACTGCACGTTATAAAGTTAATATGAATAATAAAGAATCCCAGTACATATCCAGTATGGGGACTGGCCTATTCTTCTCCCTAAATATGTTGCTGTTCCCGAGCAGATGCTGTCAGAGTAACAGCCAGGAGCCCCAGGAGGAGAAGAGTTAGAACTCACTTATTTGACAGCTGTCCACCATGTTTAAAAGTGTCCTGTCAAATGAAATCTCTCTCAATCCCCCGTTCCTCCGAGCATGTGTTTTTGCACTCAGTCCTTCAACGGCTGGTTATCAGATCAGGACAAGTTCAGGATTTTGTGGTATCTACTGATGGAAACAAGACTCTCATTCGTTGACTGGTTCACACTGTGGAACGGGACTTGGGTGACCAGCCTGGTAGGTGGAGGAAACGGTCCCAACTCTTCGCCCCTTGCAGTGTCCACACCCCTCATCCTGTAACTCCAAACCCCTCCCATAAAAGGCAGAGCACATCTCTGATCTCTTGACCCTGGGCTGGGCTGTCCGACTTGCTTTAGACAGAGGGTGTTGGGAGATGTGACCTCGGCAAAGCAGAGACTCGAAACGCACACGTAGAGTTGGGTCTCCTCTGTGCCTGGGATACAGGCAAGAAAAGAACTTCTCCCAGGAGGCTCCTGCCCTTTTGGCCAGAGCCCCAGAATAAACGCATACAGAGCAGACAGTGCACTGGATCCCCAGGGGCACAGCGGGGCCCGGAGCCACCAAGGCCACCGCAGCCTGACACACAGCTCCTCCACTCCACCTGCCCTCCCACGAGCAAAATAAACACCTAGTGGGGTACACCTCTCAGATTTCACAGCCAGAGCTGACCGACGCAGCCACAAATCACTCTTACACAACAGAGAACATGGCTCAGGATCAGAAGAAGGTACAAATGCCCTGTGGGGAGTTCGGAGGATCAGATGTTCTTATTTGGGAGTTAAATATAAAACACATTTAGATGTTTTGATGGCACTCTGAGCATCCAGGGCTTCCTTCTGGGAGCCGAGAGAGAAGGAAAAGTTGCAAGGAAATGTGCACCTCGTTCAAATTCCTACCACACTACACAGGAACGTCTGGGCCTTTCAGTGTTGCATCTGACCGTAGTTGGCTGCCGGATCTCCTCTCCCGGCTCCAGGAGGGACGGCCTATTGGGCAACCATCTCTGAACGTGACCTCCAGCTGTCCTTGAAGGCAGCGTCTGCCCTGGGCCTGCACTTTGGTAGCCCGCTCACGCTTACTCACGTCCTCAGGGTTAACCTGCCATCTCTGCTGGCTTTGCTTTTCCTGCCTCAGTGTCGGCAATTCAGAGGGAAACCAACAGGCCATTCAAGCCAGGACAGGAGCCTGAAAACCACGTCGTGGAACTCCAGGCAGTGAGATCAACTGGGAAGCGGAGGGCAGTGCTGCTGGAGACACGGTCCGCCCTATCCCCCATACCGATCCATAAACACCATGGTCCCCACAAACTATAAGACCCATGGGGGTGGAAACGGTCTTTTGGCAGGAGAAGCAGGCAGACTGTAGTGGAAAGCCACGGGATTCCTGCTCATATTCCTTTTCTAGAGATCGCCTCTCCTTCACTCCTGACAGGTCCAGGAAAGAGTCTTTGGTTCACAAGGCATCAGGAATCGTCCTACTGGAATTTGAAATTTAGAACTTAGAGAACAGAGTTTAGGACCGGAGCCTATTCGTGTAACATCATGATTTCTCTACCCCAGGGCTACCAACACTGGGGGTCAGAGAATTCTGTGTTTTGATATAAGGGGGCGGTCCTGGTTGCCAGCATCCCTGACATCTCCCCAGCAGATGCCAGTAGCAAAGAGCCTCCCAATCATGACAATCGAAGACGTCTCCAGACAGAGCCAAGTGCCCCCCCCCGGGGGACAAAACGGCCCCCGCTGAGAACTGCTGCTCTAGGACAGGACCTACGCATTGCTGCTGTCAAGGCCCAAGGATTGTTCCAGCTCCTGATTTTTCTCCTAAACCTATCTGCTCAACGCTTTCCTAAATTCACTGAGATAGACACTTCTGTGTCCTTAAAATAAGTTTCGTTTGAAAACTTCGTTGTCTAAAATTGGTCTCCATTATAAGCAGCTTAAAAAACCGTGGTATCACGCGAGAGGCACCCAATAAATAGTGAGTCAAGGCAGGACACGAAGACCTGTGGAAAGCCGAGAGAGAGTGCGAGGGTGTCGGGTCCCCTGAAAGTCAGCGGGGGTCACCCAACGGCTTACCATCACCCACAAACTGGAGCAGGGCCAGGTCAATCTGCCTCTTCCAAGGCGAGCCCTTCTGGAGGGCGATTCCGTAACCAGTGGTGGCAAAGATGTACCCACTGCCGATGGTCACGAGCTTACAGCCTTCATCCCTGCCAGCCTTGTAATTTAAGACCGCCGCATCGTAGATGAAAGCGTCCAGTTTCCTGCAATGACCAAAAAAAAAAAAAAAAAGGGAGTCATGGGGATGGCAGGGTACCATTTTGGGGCCCAGCTCCCGAGGCCCGATCTAGAACCACACACTTCCTTCCACACTTTTACAGGGTGACTCATGGCCGCCCCATGCCCTCGTCATCAAAGGATCTATTTTTAATGACGAGATAAAAGCCAGAACCTTTTCTCTCCAAGTTGCAAGAGGCAGCTAAATAAAGACATGAAGAATCCTTATGCCCAAGTGAGTAAACAGTTGAGTTTGCTGGTCTGCTCCGTGTTTGCCCTTAGCACTCCCAACAGTGGAGAACGGCGGCCTACTTAGAAAGGTTTGCATCAGACCAAAATAAAGGTGCAGGAGAGTTTGGTGGAGGGTGCGGGAAAGGAGAGTGAGCGCAGAGGAACGATGTTCTCCTCCCAATGGAAACATGTTTACGATGGACTTACATTACAAGAATTACTACATCATAATTTTAGAAACCCAAATAATATGGAACATATCAAAACCACAATTAAAATTTAAATTGCCTCATAATTCCATAATTCAGAGGCAATCTCTGCTAACACATTGGGGAAGAGCCTTCTAAATTTCTTATTCACGCACGCGTGCACAACACACACCCCTTTTAGAACTGGGGTTGGCACACTTTTTCTATAAGGACAAGAGAATAGTATAAACTCTGTGGGCCATACGGTCTGTATCACAGCTCCTCTGCTCTTCTGCTGTTCTGGGCTGACCCGTGTCAGCCCAAATTCGTGTGTTGAAGCCCTAGCCCCCGGCCCCTCAGAATAGGATTTTATTTGGAGATTGGGTCATTGCAGATGTCATTAACGAACGTGAGGTCACATGGGGGAAGGAGAGGCCTCCAACCCAATGTGACTGATGTTCTCATTTTTTATGAGAAAAAAAAGGGGAGACTTGACCACGGATGGACACACGCAGGGAGACCACCACCACCGTGAAGGCTGGACTTCACACGGCCACCAGCCAAGCAACTACCAGAAGCTGGGAGAGTAGACTGGAACAGAGGCTGCCCTCGTGCCTTCCCAGCAAGCAGAGCCCTGCTGTCACCTTCCTCTCAGACTCCCAGCCTCCAGAACCATGAGACTGGAAATTCCCATTGCATAAGCCTCCCCGTTTGTGGTAGTTAGTTACTGTAGACCTAGGAAATGCATACAGAGCACAGACGCAGCCCTAAAGAACCCATGAATGAATGAATTGAGCTCTGTGCCCATAAGAGGTTATTTACAAACACAGATGGGCCCGTGGGCCACAGTGCGTCCTTGTTTCAACCCCCCCCAAGCCTTCCCTACTTGCTCCAAACCACACACAGTGAATGTACTTCCATGTCCAGAAAGAGAGTGGTTTTTCCCCTTTGTTGATGTGTTTATTTTTATTTATGTATTATGCACGTGTAATAAAGTGTGGGATAAATTCTTACACATGTGTACATCCTGGAAATCACCATGCAGAATAAGGCATCGAGCGTTACTATCTCAGAAGTCCCGCATGGCCCTTCCCGGTCCACACACCCAAAAGGCAAGCATCAAATCATCCCCCGAAAGGCATGGCTGTGACTCAGTCATTACCCAGGTCACTATCAGTGGGCCTGAGTACTGTTTCCAACCTCCAGAGTTATTTCGAAAGGCTAAAGTAATCGCCCTTGCGCGTGGGGATGGATGGCTCCGAACTAGGTAAGGACAGGGTGCGGACGACCTAAAGGAGGCAGGAAAGCTAAAACGGAGATTACTCAGTGTCCTGGTACTTTCTCAACTTTACAGCTTTGCTTTCTTTAACAAGAACACATAAAACAGCAAAGTGAAGAAAAATAAAAGTGGCAGGGAGAGGAGGTAAAATGTTGCATCCTTTCCGAGACAGCTGCTGAAGGCCTCCCAATGGGAACAAAACTATTTGGAATGTTTATGGCTACCTGCATCATTTTCATTTTTTGTGTCTGTGATGGTGAGAGGTGGGACAAGACTCCAAGGCCCATCTCACCAACACAGAGCCTCTGCGGCCTTTCTCCGGAGGCTGGAGCCCTGGACGCTTGGCGTTATCCTGGGAGAGTATTAAAAGGAGATCAGATCGTCCAGGTGGAAGGGGAAGGAAACGAAACCTCCTGAATGGTGATGGTAAACCAGAACTGACAACAGCCTTCTGGATAGCCAGCAACACGGAGAGCCGTGGAAATGCAGAATGGGGAGCTAAAAGCCGTTTGTGTATGACGGCAGGGCCTGCGTGACAGGAGCAGTTGGGGGAGCAGGTGGAGGGGATCTGGTTTCTACTCTAGATTTGGACGATGGTGGGACCTCGGGAAAGTCCCTTCCTTCTCTCGAATGGCAGCTTCGTCATCTGTGAGATGAAGTGATCACCGCGGGCCCGCTGCGATACTCATCCAGCTGTGCGACTCTGATTCCGCAAGCCAGCAGTCACCTTCTGTGACTATCCACAGGGAAACTGAGGCTCCGGATGCCACGTGTCTCCTGAAGACTTCAGGGCACAGACGGTCTGTGTCCTCTCGATGAAGCTTAGGTGCTTGCAAAGTCCATACCTCAACCTATCCAAGTTGCCACGGAGATGCCGGGAGCCTGGGTTTACAGAGACCTTCCACTCCCTTCTCTTCATTCCTCAAAAAATAAACTAATACACACATACACGTGCACAGAGCCATTTAAATTTCAGGCCATCTGTTTGGATTCGTGCGGTAAGACCTTTCCCTCTCCTGTTAACCCACCAGCCACGGAGGCGTGTCTGGGATGGAATTCTAAACCTGTACCCGCAAACGGCACCAGCACTGCCCAGCCCCGACTTACGTCAGTATTTACGGCCAGGTGCAGATTTCTGCACATCATTACCGTATCTCCTGACAAAATACACTTGAGCTGAGATACAGCCAGATGAGCCGAAAGAAAACAGCAAGTTTTCTCTGGGAACCAAGTTTGCAAAAGTAAGGAAGGCCGTCACCAAAGACACGAGTGAAGCAATGACACCGGTGTGCCTGGGGTGGGCTGGTGGCCAGGAAGCGCCACTAGTGGGTCTGCCCTCCATGGGCTGACTCTGGTCTTGGGGCCGCATCAGAACCAAAATGAGGACAGTTCATGAAGGAAACCTCGAGGCCATGGAATGGGGGTTTCTCCCTCATCAGTGATTCTAGGGAGCTCCAAGTGCATGTTCAGAAACATCCTGGGGCTTGCACAACCCCCTCTGATAGACATGGCATCTCTGCACAGTGCTTTACAAACAAGGGTCCAATAGGGAGACATACAATTGTTATTATAAATATTTTCCTATGTTGTCTCTGAGCAGAGGAGGCCCCATGAGGCAGCCTGAAGGTCCTCGGTATGGCTTCCAAATTCTGTACTGCTAGACTCTGTCTCGTGGAGCTATCTGGAAGAAATGCTCTATATCTATGCTAATACGGTTATCACACACTTGAAATGTGGTTAGTGCAAATGGGGAACTGAGGTTTTAATTTTTTTTTTTTTTTAAAGATTTTATTTATTTGACAGAGAGAGATCACAAGTAGGCAGAGAGGCAGGCAGAGAGAGGGGGAAGCATGGCCCCTGCTGAGCAGAGAGCCCGATGTGGGGCTCGATCCCAGGACCCTGAGACCATGACCGGAGCTGAAGGCAGAGGCTTTAACCCACTGAGCCACCCAGGCGCCCCGAGGTTTTAATTTTATTTCATCGCATTCATTTAGATTCTCACATAAATGGTCACACATGGCTGGTGGCTCCTTAAGTGGACAGCAGCGGGGACGGCTGGTGGGGCGGGGGGCAGGGCTCTGGGTCTCCTCCTCGCTCTGACTCCAAAAGATCTACCTGCTCTTTTCAACTGGAAGAACAATGTCCCCCTCGTTAAAGAAAAAACTAAGACTGGCTGATGTCCTCCACAGAGGGCCCTGTTGTCCTCAACAGAGGGCTCTGTGGTCAAAGGCTTGGAGCAAGGAGCCTGTGTTTCTGAGCCCCCGTCTTCTCTCTGCAAAGTGGAGCAGAGCATCTCTACCCTCAGAGGGAGTGAAGAGAAGTTATATAAGTAAGACGTGAGCACAAGTCTGGCACGAAACAAATGCTCAGAACACACGGACGTGGTCAGCTGAGTTCACATTTTATGGCAGTGCTCATGGCAGTTGCCACGACGTTCTACGCATGCTCTGTGACACATTATCTCATCCCACTGGCTGTGCCACCGCCATCCCGATTGCCAGATGAGAAAACTGAGTCACCAAGCGATCAGGGGACGCAAAGCTACCACCCAGCTTATAGGGGTCACTGCTGCATCTGGACTTCCACAGTCTGATGCCAGTGGCCACAGACATGACCGCTGTGACCATGATGTCCATGACGCTTATGGGGGTAAACAAAGGCAACTCTGTCTATTGCTTATGAAATTCAGACTGGGGGTTATAGCTCTAAGTCAAGCCCAGTGAAATGGAAGAAGAAGGCAGGATGAGAGCAAAGCCTCTGGGTTTGAAGAGCTTTGATGGGTCATTCAGCTTCATTTGTCTCCTTCCCAACAGGGGCACGGCCCTGGGAGGTCCAGAGGCACCCCTGCAGAGACCTTCTCTTGCCCCCAGCACATCGTATGCCTGCCTTCAAGAGACCTTTAGGCATAGACAGCCATAGCTTCTTGTTGAGGGTAGAGGGTAAGGAAGATAAATGAAAGTCCCACGTAGACCACAGGCATCCAGGGGCCCGGAGCTGAGCTCGCGGGAGACAGGGATGCTTCAGGCTGCAGTGCGGAAATAGGCAGCCCACCCCCAACCCAGTTTGCAGCACCCCAGATGGAAGGAGGGCCCTGCAGGAGAGGGAGCCTCGGAGCTCACAGCAGACGGCTGGAAGCTCAGGGCTCCCAGGTAAGGAAGCCGGTTCTGCTTCTCTGCTCCAGGTTTTCTGCTCCTGCTTTTCAAGAGGAGACTGTCTTTGTCCCCCTTCCCAGCTCCTGCCCATGTCCCATGGCTGTCACAGGCTGAAAGCTTCCCCCATGGGCCAGGAG